CTCGATCGTCCATGTTCATGGTCCCACATCCACATCTCCTTATCTCGATTGCTTCTTTTATCCATCTTTTGTATTTTTGTATATTTGCCGGCAATCCAACGAGATAATATATTTTTTAAAAATAAGACGGTTATTATTATTGTCAACTTTTTTACCAGGGTTTACCGCTACACCGGTTACCGTGACAACCCTAGTCATAAGTAAAGGTAATAGATTAAGCTTAAAAGCAACAATATTATACCCCTTCTACAACAGATTATGTATTTACATAGGATGGCTTACCAAGCCAGAAGATTCCCTGAAAATTTAACAGTTATCAGTAATAACAATTTTTAAAGTAACTGTCCCAAATACTCATCTCTCTTTTTTTCACGTCCTCTAAAAAAAGCAGTCTAGTTGCATGTGACATTTTACATTTAATCAAAACGAGACACATGATCATGTTTCATTCTGTCTTAATTAATTTAAATATCAAATTAGCTGATGGCTTATATAGTTGCTTTTGTCAGGTGTTTGTTCCTGTGTCACTTGATGCCACTTTAATATGTCAGAAATCTAAAGATATTACACCCAAACACACCATAGTTGACTGGAAAATTCTCCAGCACTGTTTTTTATTTGAAAGTGAGCAAATAAGTAACAAAGTGTGGCTGCTGTTTCGAAAAGATGATCTAAAACCAGCTAAATTAATGCCACCAACTACACTCTTTCAGGGGTGAGAGTATTTAGGCTCATTATGATTCAACTTAATTATGATTCAGAGGGTTGTAATGCATTGTTGTCAGGGTTAAATGATGCATTCTATAAACAGTGACAAGTCATGAAGTCAAATATTATATCAAGTTAGGATAAAACATATCCTTGGGGTGCCCATAACTTGCTGAAGTGGGTCTGATGATTTCAGCTTTTTTTTCCCCCTTTGTGACCACAGTTGAAAAAAATCTCTTTACAAGAAGTCCAAGAACATCAACCACACACTGGTCTACTTCTCCTCCTCTGTTCTGTTATGGCAGTCACAGAAAGCCACCACTTAAGCCTATGTTTTCCTCTCTTCTTTTGCACTTTCCCTTGGGAGCCTGTGGCTCTGCAACTGTTGGAATTCCCATAAAGTCCAATCTGTGCTGGGCACATCCGAAACCACCATTAATCATCTCAACGTGATTTGTCTTGTTCTTTACCACCATGGCGTAGGTAGAAGAGGAGTGAGAGGAGGGAAAACCAACAAAAGTCGGTGAAGTTGTCAAAAGCATTAAACCTGCAGCAGGAGTGAGTCCCCACTGATTCGATAGGAATGCTAATGCTGATATCACCGATTACATTCTTACAAATTATGAATTAGAAACGTCCCAAATGATTACATTTGGAGTCTAATAGAAAGTAAAACTACCATCAATCAAATAAGTACAGACAGGTATTTTAGTAAAGCCAGAAAACTTGTAACTCCAGAGTTTTGGCTAGCAGCTATGACCGTAACTGAACTACACATGGACAAGACGTCAAAAACTCTAAACACAAAATACTTCAATAAACGGGCTGGCTGTCGTGCGTGTCGGTGTACTTGAAGAAGTCTGTGTATAACAGTCCATAATATCGATACCACAGGGATGGAATATCTAATTTAGATACCACTTTTAGCATCGATTTATATCTAGGTATCGATTTTTTTGACAACACTAATATATACATATATACATATATATATATATATATATATACATATACATATATACATACATATACATATATATATATATATATACATATATACATACATATACATATATATATATATATATATATATATATACATACATATATATACATATATACATACATATACATATATATATATATATACATACATATACATATATATATATATATATATATATATATATATATATATATATATATATACATATAATGTACTTACCATTTTTAATCAATTAAGAGTCTCATAAAACACGACAGCAAGTCTGATCACGTATAAACAATAGAGTCACTTCCCACTTCCTGTGCTCATGTCCCGTGTGATGTTGTGACTATCGTGCAACTTTCCAAGAAGCGCTCAGCAGCTCGGCTCGGCGCGGCACGTGTGACAATTTAACTTCCCAAACCTGCAGCGCGTTTGTCTCTGGTGTGCCCAGGCTTTAAAGAACTTATACATAACACTAAATAAAGTAACTAGTGAACTCCAGGGTTCACTGGGCCAACTGAAGTTTTTCTAATCTCAACCATTGGAGGACATTCTGTTTTCTCCCGAGTCCGCTGCAGAAACTATAGTTAACGTTGAGGTATAATCCCTCTAATGTGTCCTGAGTGTATCCAGGGGTGTCTTGCCAGCAGGGTATGCCCAAAATACATTTCTCCTGGAAGGCATTTGGGAAATATTTAGATTAAATATCCAAAACACCTCAGCTGAATCCTCTCAACATGAAGGAGCGGCTCTACTTCGAGTCTCTCCCGAATGTCCAAGCTCTTCGTCTTAACTCTAAGGCTGGGCCCAGCCACCTCACGGAAGAGACACATTTCTGCTATTTGTATTCATGATCTTGTTCTTGCAGTCAATACCCACAGCTCATGACCATAGGTGAGGATTGGTACAAAGACTAACCGGTAAATTGAGAGCTTTGCTTTTAGGATTATCTGCCTCTTCACCACAACAGGCCGGTTCAGTGTCTAAAGTTGGGCGATGCATGAAATTTGTCAGTCTCCAAAAAAGAAAAAGACAAAGGGCCCTATATTCACACAAGTGACATTTAGAAGGCCCGACACACACTGGGCGCAGCGCTCCTCCAATCACAATCATTCTTACTCAGTTTGCAGAGCCAGATTATGAGGGTTCCTCATGCTTGAGATTGATGATTTTTCAATTTCATTGGCCATTTAGCAATATACTGTGCCACAATTTGGTTACACATGAAAATAGTAGGTGAGGCATCTGACCTAACAGTCAATACTGTAAGCTTTTGCGTTAGCAGAGACCTCAGCTATAGACTCAGGTAAGATGTTGATCAAAAGTCTGAAGCTAATCTGAGGATAAGAAAGGGATGCATCGAAAGAAATTTTGAAGATTTTAGCGGTATATTATGTTGAACTGTGGATATAAGAGTTGCTGTGGACCAACTATTTTATTTGAATACTTTTAATGGACCGTTGTGGAAGAAAACAAACATTCATTTTGTTCAAGATGGTTTTCTTCTTTCAATGGCATGAGGCTTTCAACAGTGAGTTAAACATTATTTTGGATTTCTGAGTGGCTTGACCAAAGTGTTTACTGTGTCTACAGTTATAGTTGTATCCTCGATTGACATAATTATGTATAATATGTATATCTACATAGAACAAGTGTTGCAAAAAAAATACTATTGGATGTTTGTACATGTCTAACTCATTCATTAAAAAAAACGAACATCGAAGGGCATGTACAATCACAACTGGTTGATAAATTCAACCAATCACACAATTTTACCGTCGATCTCCCGCTCCCTCCTTCCCTAACTTGCGAGCAAGACCTTAAGATACTTAAACTTCCCCACTTGGGGTAAGACCTCTTGGCAACCCCCCCTTCTGGTCAAGAACTGGTATTCACTTAAATTTTCTGCATCCTTTTTATATCACTTTTGTAAATAACCTCTGTTGACCATCACAAATAAAATATTTTGCAGTGAAGCTGAATGTATAGCAGGAGAAAAGACCTTAGCATCCTTAAAGGGCACCACTATGACATAACTGATCTTTTAGACGGTTTACTGCAACCCCTTTGAGAATTTCCCCATCTGACGTGGATTTGAAGATAACTGTTACATCCCTAGTGACTCCAAACTCAAGACCAAATGGTGATTAAACTAAGACTCATTTGTGTTTGCTCAAGTTTTGAGCATTGAGAGTTAATGGTTTTATCTGTTGAAACATGACGTGATTAAGCTTTTAGGCATCCAAAATCCAAAGATGTATTAAACACCACCTGTAAACAGTTATGTTGTAGTTGTACCAACTTTCTTCGCCACTGTGGACAAAACACGGTTGTTATGGTTTACACAAAAGCTCTCTGTAGAGATGTAAGAGTCTTTTCTCCCAGACTATACGCCCACAATCAAACGGAGACCAGAGAGTTTTTCTAACGCCTTGAAGGAAACAGAGCTTTCAGTTTAACCATGTGTCTGATAGTCCTTGTGTCCAAGTGTTTGTACTTCAGGAGGATTACCAGCAGTCCAACATGGAAAGGAGTACAGCAAGAGCTATTTTGGGGGTCAGAGAGGTATTGCAAGCCAGCTGTGTTTCCACGGCTTGATGAAGGGAGGGGGCAGAGTAGGATAGAGGAGGAGGGATGGGAAAACAAAGCAGCAGCAGTCATATTTAATTGGTGTCACTTTGGAAAGGTTCACACCAACTTCAGGAATAAAGCACGAGTTGTCTGATCAGATGCAGAGGTGGGACTAGGAACAGAACTTTTTTTTTTTCTCTCAACCAGGCACATCTGGCCTGGCCCATGACCCGCACTTGTATAGCACCTCTCAGAGTGAGGACTCCAAAGCGCTTTACACTACAGTGTATCATTCATCCATTCACACACTGATGGTGATGAGCTACGATGTAGCCACAGCTGCCCTGGGGCGCACTGACAGAGTCCACCCAGCCTATATTGAAAAGCATCTCATTCATTTACTTCCTGGCCTTTCATATAAAATTCTTATTTCTGTACTATATTTACTACAAACTGCTCAATTAGTGCTGCAATGAAAGTCTGCTAGCTAACTCCTGATTATCAACGTGGTTTTTTTGTGTGTGCGTTTAACTGTGTACAGAGTGTACAACATTTGATGGTGTTAATTTACTGATTTGCTCTACTTAGAAGAGTAAAAGTTGCTACTTGGTGATTCAGTCATACTTCACACAGAGCTTAGAACAGCGGTGATTTCTCTGAGGGAAAGCAAAAAGTAAGATTTTCCTACAGGAGAGAGGACATGCTGAGTAAAGGAAACGGTGGATTTGATTACCTCTGTCGTCCGGAGGGAGGGCGGCTTCTTCAAGGCAGCCCTAAAGTTATATTCCATGGCTCCGGTCATTTTCATAACTTTGGTTCAGACCCACCTCAGGTCTTATAATCCTTCCTTTGCGCTTTTCCCAAGCAAGAGTCAACACAATTACATCCCCGGTGATGTTCCTGCTCGCCCCGCCGAGCGTGGAAGGAGTTAATTCCAAATCCACCGGAAAAGAGAAGAGGAAAAAAAAACTCTTTCACCTACGAACTCGCTGTTTACTCCGCGTGCGAGAAATGGTTAAAGGCGCCAAAGTGTGACAGAAAGTCAAGTATGTGCGACCCGTTGGTTTTAGTTCGGCACATCCTTGGTAAAAATAAATATCCAGTTTAGTAGTTCGCGTCAGTCATAACCGGGAGTTCGGATTTTCATCCCTCCTCCAGGAGAGCTGACGACATCTGTTAGCCCGGGCAGGTGGTGCGTTCACACTCGTCGGAAATTAGAGAATATTGTGAAACAGGCGTTGCATGAATCATGAATCAAAATTAAAAGTTTTAAATTAGTGAACTTAAACTTTTTCTTGTTTGGCTGAAACACAAATATTGACTTTTAAAAATATTTAATAAAATTAAATAATAGCGAGAGTTGCTATTATGATGCCTTCTGTTGAATGGCAAATAAATACAAAACAGTTAAATACACTGTAAGGCTACCATTATTTAGTAGGAAATGAACATACGAGGTATTTGGTTATTTTAATTGAGTTGTTTTTATCAGATAGCGTGTAGTAAGTTATGTCTTAATCAGTTAGTTACTCGCATTTTATTGAGTTCAATTTACTCTTTGAAAATCGAAACATGATAATTACTAAATGTTTTATTGTATTTGTTTTTTTTTGGGTCAGTTTTTGCGATACCGCAATTCAACTGTTGCTCATCAGAAGGCAAAATACATACAGTATTATGATTAACGTTTTAAAGTTTGAAAAAGAAGAACATTTTTTATACATATAGTATTCAAAATAAAAATCACAAGGTGCCTGGCAACCGCAATAAAAAACATAACAGTAATAATTTAATAAAATTTAAAATAAAAACTAAGTAGAAGAAAATTCAAATTGGTAAATGAAAAAAAGAAAAACAATGGAGTACAAAAATACAAAAAATGATAAACAGTTCACACACAAAAATATGTAAAGGATTCTTAAATATAGCCTACATATAAATGAATATTTGAATTTAATTAAAAAATGTTTAAATGATTTTTGTTTTAACTTTAATAAAAAATATATGTTTTTGCTTTTTTTGCAAAACCAAATACGTCACATTCACGATAAAATAACGTGTTGTAGTGTCATAATATAACCACAAGAGGGCGACAAAGTTCCTTGATACGTAGAATCTAATTCCATTGAAATTTAATTGAAAGATGATTAGGATTTAGACATATTTATCACTGTATCCATAAGTCCAGAAGAGGAACAAACCTGCACTTCACACAGCTGCATGGGCAAAGTAGTGCAGTTTTATTATATTTCATATATTTTACCCAGGAACCATATATTTAGCCTCTGTACTCTGCTAGATAACCTCAAAGCTTGAGAGCCAACAGATATGAATAAAGTCAACCCAATAGTGATGAATGCAACAATATTTATTACATTTTACATTTTTCGGTTACTTTTATAAAGGTTGTGGGACTTGGTGCAATTTTACAGTTGTGACGATGTGTCATAAAGTAGTCCCAAGTCTAAAATGGTGCCTGTGATTCATTTGTGTTACTTATTATTTTCACTTTCACTCAGTCAGTATGAGTATTGAGGTCACCAAGCAGAATTAGAATCAATATTGAGTAATTATAATGGGTTTTTTTTTTCCCACACACAAAGCTAGTGGTTACCATTCATCTACATTGTCTAATGCTAAGCTAAAGGGGTACTGCTGGATAAGGGCTGGTTACAAATATTTTTTCCCTACCTATCTAATGGGGAATATGGCAACAGACATTTTACTTTGGGGCGCAATGTCACCAGAAACCCAAAGAGGGTCATATTTGTCAACATTAGCCAAAGATAAGATAGTTAACTGTTTTGTCCTTGTTGACCCCTTGCTGATATTTTCAGTTAATATTATTATATTATTTTTATAATGTAAAATTCAACTGCATTCTTGTTTTTAATAGTTATGGAAGTTTTTAGGCCACATGAATGTTGCACTGGATGTGAAAAACTCATGTGCTCATGTGTGTGTGTGTGGCTCAGCTTGAAGAGGTACATGAATGCATCACACACTAACATGCTTTTCTCTGAACTCTTGAAAGAGATGCTAGAGATTATCAAAACCTAGGATTTTAAAACTACCATGTCAGTAAACGCAGCACCTCATTCAATGTATTTGTGGCTCGTCTGCTTCGATTTTTCGTTAGAATTCAGAATGTGCAATAAGAAAATGAAACAAACACAATTATTTTGGTTTGTTTTGAAATAATCTACTTTATTAATCACCATCTTGATGTTTTGGTCTATTGGTGCTTTAATGCACTGCCTCAGCATGGGCACTCCTTATCTTGTTGCATAACTGTGGTGCGTTTGTGTGTGTTATGTTTATTTTAGCTCCTCATCGCATAAGATATGTTGTGATTCAGAGATGCATGGTCTTTTGTTCATGTTTACTCTCTATATCCTGTTCACACAAAAAAAGAATTTTTTTTATCACAATTAATTTTGCTTTCTTTAGTTCTGGGAAATAAATTTTATTTTCAAACATTTAAACTTGTCTTGATTTCTCTTTGATTCCACACCAGTCAGCGTCTCCACAGACTTGTAGTTCTCAGCATGTTTATTGCACAACGTTCCCAGAAAATTGGGAAAAAAGAAGAAAAATAAATTGACGTTTCATAAAAGACATTCTGCACAAACACATGGAAATAACTTGAGAATGTATAGTTTACAGAAACCGTTTCGAGTATGAGCAACTAAATAATTTATTCATATACAAAGAGGGAAAAGCAGATAAATATATATATATATATATATCAATAGTAGTTGTCATGTACAAAATGTAGCAGAGCATCTTTAATACACATCAGTATGAATTTATTCACCTCAACAGCAAAATGAGCTTTTCCAAAAAAATAAAATAAAAACTGAAACATTCATGCTTCTTCTCTGTTAAGACTTGGACTTTAATCTGGTTGTGATTTAGATGAAAAGGAAGCCAAACACTGTCCACTTTTCAGGGCTACAGTGGCAGTTTCCATAGCAACACAAAGGCTTCAAAAGTAAAAGAAAAAAAGCTGATTTGAAGATTTCTTAAATGATTTACTGGCTGCAGGCTTTTCTATGTTGTCCTTTTTATTCCCTGCTATTGAAAAGACAAAATATGAAAAAATAAAATAATCAAGCATAGAATTTCTGTAATTTAGTTATTTTATGGATAAAACCGTCATCAGAAATAAAATTAAAAACTGAAATAGTGTTAAATCAGCACATATGCATCTAGGAAAAGGCTCCTAGTCGCCTCTGTCCCAAGCACTGAAGCCGTAAACATCATATAAAGGTGACGGATATAAAAATGAAAAAATACTTCAGCATTCCATTTGAAAAATACACTCAAACAACACGAGTTAAAGCTTTTCCACAGTATTACAGGACCCGTCTCCATCACCGTGTAATGCAAAAATATATATTCCTTCCTTTATTTATTTAATTTAAACAGCCTTCCCTTTGTTTGTTTTTAAAGAACACAGCATAGAGTCGACACAGTTGACATTCTGATTAAAGTTCTTATACATTTACCTCAGGGGGTTTCTATGGAGCAGCTTAAGCAGCCCATAATACAATCTGAGGTAGAGCTGTACCTGTGATGACCTCAAAGCCACATTTAGCTATTGTATATACATAATCTGTAAACTAAAAAGGATTTAATTACTCATATGTGGCCAAAAGAGGGGAAAAAGCTTCCAAAGTCAGGTGAGCGTCTCATTTAGCCAAACAAATAAATTACAGAAAACGGTGGTTTGTAAACAAGCAGAACAATATGGCATAAATGGGTTTAATATCTGTAACTCAAAGTTTTTATGAAAATACTCATTTCCATTTAACCCAGTCCATCACTTCATAATGCCAAGTTTAGATTGTCCAGGTAAACAAAGGAGTTGGAGAGTTAAAGTTCACAGTTTCCTCGTGGTGTGCATCAACAGTTTTTATTTATTGTGGAAGAAACTTGAAGTCTTTGGCTTTTATTTCCCAAAAATAATAAAACAAAAGTTATGTTCAAATAAGATTCCTGTCATACCAGAGTTGCTTCAGTCATCTGCTGAGCCTCACTCTGTTCCTGCTCTCTACCTCCACCTAGTGGCGCCACGTCCACATCGCTCCACGGTCTGAGTCCATGAAGATGGGCGACGCTCCAGCTGGAGGTAAACTTCACCATGTAGGCCATGGAACCATGGAAGGGGGTCAGCTGTGCAGCATGGACAGCTGTATCTGAGGGGCTGGAGTGATCCCGCTCTGGTCCGACTGGTCTCCATACTGGTTTAGACCTATTGGTGCAGTTTCATAGTAAGATCTGAGCAACGTACGGGGAGTGAGTGCTGGCCACTGCAGCCAACAGAGGAAGGTCGCTGGACTCGATTCTGTAGAAACCAGAGAATAAACAGTTTCCTTAAAAGCAACAAATACACTTCAACACTTTAGGCTTTTGCTTTCAAACTGGTTGCAATGGTTCTTGAGCCACAAACTTGGGAAACTATTCATGGACAGCAGTCTGCAGCCATCCGCTGAGCAGAAATCACACATAAGAGCTTTTGTGGTTGGGTTCGGAACGCTGGTTTATGGAAACAGCCGTTTACTGCGCCGGTAGCTCATTTAAAAGCTAGCAGTCAGCATTTTCAGTTCGTCGATCATCAATAAAAAGCACAAGAAAAAGAAGAATTTTGCTTTATGTTGGTATCACTGCAGGGCCCGGAAGTAAAAGTAAGAGAATGTCTTTGAAGGCGAAGCAGAGCTAAAACCGGAGTGAACTTCAGCGCGGCCTACACTCATTTGAGGGAGCTACAGCAGGCCACAAAATCACGAACTGATGGTCACCTGATGTTGTTGCTACTGGCCAAGTAAGGAATACTATTTTTTTGTCCAACAGGGTGGATTTGTTTAACTTGTTGGCTTATTTAGTATCAGTTGACTCATGTTGGCATTAGCTCGTTGTTAGCACTAGCTACACAGGGGTTGTTTAAGACAGCTGTATTGGTGGTTCCCAGAATATCTAAAATTAGGATGGGAGGCAGATCTTTTAGTTATCAGGCTCCTCTCCTGTGGAACCAGCTCCCAGCTTTAGTCCGTGAGGCAGACACTTTGTCTACTTTTAAGACTAGGCTTAAAACATTTTTATTTGATAGGGCCTATGTTTAAAATCTGATGTTAGCCTAAATCTGGACAAGTGGGGGAGTAGAGGGAGGTGGAGTGTACAGTCGGTAAAGACGGCTCTCCCTTGCCCTGCCTCCAACATGCCTCCATCTAAATAGGATAGGTTATCCAGAGTTATCTCTGTAGTTATGCTGCTATAGGCTTAGACTGCTGGAGGATACACTGACCACTTTTCACACTCTACTACTTTCTTCAAGTCTGCTCTTTAACTGTACTATTTTCTGCAATTTCAGCTGTTAACTTTGTTTTCTCTCTAAGTGTTTTTCTCCCCAGAAGAAGCTACGATGATGTTCTGCTGAGCTGTGGTGGCCTCATGGAGGGGGCCATTGCCTAGCACACTGCTGCTAACCACTTAAACATTCTCCCTCTCCTGATAATAACTTTTTGCTTTCCTTGACATTGGATGTGCTACTGCTAGTTTACTTGTTTAATTATAGATCCACTAGGATAAATACAATAAAGTTTATCTTTCACCATATAGAATATTTACTAAGAAATCACAATATAACTATAGACACATTGTGTGTGTGTGTGTGCGTGTGTTCTGTCTTCTCGATCCCCAGTGAGTCGTGGAGGATGGCTGCTTATACTGAGCCAGGATTCTCTGGAGGTTTCTTCCTGTTGAAAGGGAGTTTTCCTCTCCACTGTCGCTTAATGCTTGCTTAGTATGAGGATTGCTGTAAAGTCACTGGCACTAGTCAGTGACTTGATGCAATTTGCTGGGTTCCTTATATAGGAAACATTATTTCTGATTGGCTTAATGAACTGACCTGAATTGGAATGTTTATTATGTGAAGTGCCTTGAGACGACTCTTGTCGTGATTTGGCGCTATATAAATAAACTTGAATTGAATTATTTCCACTTTCAACCAGTGGGAGAGACAAGTGGGAAACTTATTAAATATTAGGAGAGGCCAACTATAGGCTGGAGCAGTAAAGGTTAACAGCTTACCCTAAAACCATGCCCAGTTCCTTCACGTGGACTCTCGTCTGGCCCTTCAGATACTCAGCAAGCATCTTACTCTTAAAGTAGATCTCCTGAAGTCGGTCCTCTAGGTGCATTATGCACTGAATACGACACAAACGAGACTGGTTATAAACAACTACCAGTTTAGAACTGAAACACTTAGACATAAGGAAGATACTGAGCTGTAAACATACAAAGTTGGGTGAGAGGTTGAGTTTGTAGAGCTGGTACGTGGACTGCAACAAGCTGGCGACCAAGCTGGACACCAGAACTTCTTTCCCCAGCTTGTTCACGTCTGTAGCTCGTCTCTGGCTGCTGGCCACTTGTACCGTCCACTTGTCCGTGTCCGCTATAATGCACACGGCCTCGGCTATGGGCTCATCCAGTACAGGATGCTACATTGACAAACACACGCGTAATGAAATACACAAGCAAAGACGAGTCTACCGAACTGAACGACTCTGGCTGTACCTGAACAGTGTGGGTTAATTCCGTTACGAGGCTTTGCCGTAGCTTCTCGTCACTCGGGATGCCGTGCAGTACAAAGTCTGGAACGTAGGTGCGGCAGTAGCCTCCAAAAAGAGACCAACCAAAGTTGGCAATGGTAGGTTTTGAGTAGTTCTCTACTAACTTTGCCCTGTCGAACAAAACTTTTTAGTTGGTTTTCATTACTGAACACCAATTTATAGGAAAAAGAGAAAGTGTGTGTGTGTGTGTGTGCATGCGCATCGACTCACCCAGGGAAGGGAACCAGAACTTCCTCCTGCCAGTCCTCCGTCTCCTCGCTCTCGCTGTCTCCCAACGCGCTGTCCGAGCTCTCATTCCGAGGTATTTCCCAGTCATTGACAGGAGCCACCTGCTGTTTTTGGTCCTTTCCGTTGTTGCTTCCATCCTGAAGAACAGGGACGGAAAACACGAGATCCTTGTCCTGCTTGGCAGGACAGCTCTTGCAGCAGCAGGAGTCAGAGGAGTCTGTAGAACTACACCTGCACCTTCTGAGAACACCAGATAAGGCGTCTCCCCTCCTGCTGGAGTCCACGTCTCCACTACTCGGAGCCCTAACTGCGCTCTGAAAGCTGTGATCCCTTAGATCATGAATCCGAGACATCCCTGATGGATTTAGAGGTTGGTTTTGCAGATTGTTCATGTTGGTTGCCTCCTGTTTGCCCATGTAGTCTATAGTCCTAATCTCCACAGGGTTCTCTGGACTGAAATACTCGTCAAAATCGTCCATACAGTTCCCGCTCCACTGAGACATCTTGCTGGACACCCGCTGCAGAGCTGCGGTTTTCTTGGTCTGTTTGGCTTGGTCCCCAGATGTGCTGGTCCTGCTGGTGGGTGAAGCTGCTCCTCTGTGCTGCTGTTGAAGCTGCAGATAAGGTAGCAGTTTTTCCTTGGAGTGTTTCCTGTGCTTTCTGATGTCCATCTCTACTCTCCGTCGCCGACTTTCTGTGTCTGACTCAGGGGACATGGAGTCCCCGATGAGGAAGGTGACTTTTGTTGCTGGCTCCTCCCCGGCCAAAGCCACGTGTCTTGTAATAGCGTTTCCGGGTAAAAACGGTATAGGCATTGCTCCAGCCAGGTTCTTATCCGGTGGCTTCTTCTCTAAAGGAATTCCCAGCGGTTGAAAAGGCAGACCCCCTACTTTGGCATCCACCCCCACCTCAGCTCCAACACTTTTACTCTCCGTGGCGACTGAAGGGAGGGACAGAATTGGAGTGGGTGTGAAGGAAGAAACAACTTTAGTGTTGCTCTTGGTCTCTGCGTCCAAAGCACAGCCCGGCTCCCTGGACGAGGCTGAGGCAACCTGCTGCACCGTTTCCAACTTGACCTCGGGGGCCCGCGGGCTGCCGGACTCCCGTTTCAGCTCCCCAGACTCATCTTCTGCAGTCCTGATGATGGAACCCACGTCCTCACCGAGCCTCGGCTGAAGAACGCTGCTCCCGGACCCCTGGCTGTTATTTCTGTTCTCCTCGTCTTCGTCCTCATCATTCTCTTTCAGTGGATCCCTGGAGCTGTTCTCCACCTCCGTGTCCGTGTACGTGCTGCTCTGGAGGCTGTTGTCAGAGCGGTAGCTGCCGTCTTCAGCCTCAGTCTGCTGACTGTGGACACCTTGGGACAAATAGTCCCCGCTGGGTTTATGGACAGTAACCAGAACATAGTCCGACTCCTCTACCTCTCCCCTCCTGAGTGAAGTGGTAATGAGGGAGCCGGGCATGACAATGGCCTCATCTTCAGCGCTGTCCAGCATATGGGTCTCCAGCAGCTCTGAGCAGCGGATGAAGTATGTGAGGACATACAGGAGTCTCTGGACCAGCTCCTGACGACAGCCAACCACCACCGTCTTCGACAGCCGTACCGGTGACCCTATGGCCCCATAAAGGTCCCCTACACACAGAGAGGACAAATCAAAACCCGTCCTGTCTCTTTGTTAATGTCAACAACATCCTTAAAAAATGTTTGCACACTTTTAGTTTCCTGTTTTGGATGCAGTTTCCAGCTCTGAACACTAGGTGTCACCCTCGACTCATTTCCTAAATGTCTGAAACTCAAACTTTTAGAGATCTTTTAAATATTTATCAGTTGCAAATATCTTGATGCTGTAACGATTAATGACATCACAGGTTTCACACTTCACTCCCTTCCTTTGAACGGGAGATGAAATCGTTGAATCGTGACGATCAAACGTCTCACCGAGCTGAGCCCAGAGGGGGTTGTAGGGATGCGTCTTTGCCAGCATGTCGACGCTTTGGGAGGAGTGTTTCTCCAGGAAGATTTTGATTGGAGGCTGTCCGTTGGGCATGACGGTGGGCACCCAGGCCAGATGATTGGTCAGGATGGCGGTTAATAATGCAGGAAGGAACCTGGAATGTGGGATGCAGCCAGGTCAGAAGAGAACAAAATACCAGATTATACTCTAAACTAGATCACTTCCTACACAACATACTTTGTGACACACACACACGCACGCACACACACTCATTTCTTGGTTCTGACCACAAGTGTCTACTTCCTTTCCAGTCTCATGACTCACAGTAATGAACGTCTAGTTTCAACACGTGCCAGAATACAGAGCTAGCATCAGCAGCCATCATGGGATCACTCATAGGGTGCCTCGTAAGAGCCGTGATGTGATACAGTAAAGTGGTTCCCATAACAACGTGACACTCCGCTGAGTCAACGGCACATAAATGTGGCTGGGTGTAAGCTGGACTAACCAGTAGTGGTGGAAACTTCAACATCCAAACAATGATTGTAAAAATAAAACAAATGGTCACACAGGAGACCGTCTGTTTTCTTAGTCAAAAGCTAAAAAGGAAACAAGGAATTATTGTCCCCGTTTGTCGTACGTTTTAAAGACGTGTTTCACTTGTTCATTCAGTACTTTTGCAGTGGTCTCTAGTAGGAATGGATGCCTTTTAAGTTGTTCTCGGGGGGTGGGTAACAACACGACTCTACCACTGGCTCCATTTGCTCCGCAACAATGATGATCTCCACAAATAACACAAACCTGAAGGAGTGATGCTGTGTGGTGGAGTTGCTAATGCTAATGGTTAGCTTCTACTAGCCGAGACTTTCTCTGCGGTTTCCTGGATGCTAAAACAACAACCTTTCCTGTCGTGAGTCAAGATGGGTGAGTCCATGAATGTTAAGTGACAGTGTGACGTAGATCTGTCAGACTTTTCAAATCCTAGCGCTGCACCGTCTATTTTCTATCAGAAGCTAATGCAGGAGATAGGTGTAGGAGACTATTTTCATGTTCAGCCTGCATGAAAAACTCTGAGTGACTGATTATAATCAGAAATAATTATTAAAAATGTTTTTTTAAGTGTTCCACACCTCTTAATCTTCTCAAGTAATGTTTGAACGCATATGTACCTGTAATGAATATTTAAAACAAAAAAGGTAGCTCTTAATCCTCTATGATCAACAGCTAATTAATATAAATGATGTGATTTTGCTAATTAGAACCATTTAAAAACGTACCTATAATGTCTTGTATAGTAAACAGAAAAGGCACCGGTTTTCTTGGCCCACACAAAAGGACTAAATGCATTTCGGTTGCAGGTAAATTAACTCCAATTTGATTATTTTTCAAAATTAAAGCTGTTAATAGAAATGTTGCTGCAACTCCAATATTTACATGACTAGAACAACATATTTTAAAACATACTTAATGATATATTAAGTTTTGTTTCTTGAATGCTATTTAAATAAACTGTAGTAATGTTCAACAAAGCTCTTGTTACCAATTCACATTTGCACAATTATCAATGGTTTGAAATGGTTTTGTAACGGCGACAATAAGCAGTTAGAGACAGGCAGGGACCTTCTCATTCACATAAAATGAAAAGAGGGGGGGAAACCGTGTGTGTGCGTGCGTGCGTGCGTGCGTGTGTGTGTGTGTGTGTGTGTGTGTGTAAAGATTTGTGAGGGAGAGAATAAACAGTGAGTGTGTGTGGATCTGCATGTGTTCCTCTGCTGATAAGTTTGAAACTGAAGTACGAGCCATAAAAGATAAGAAAACAGTGAGATTATGGAAAGTTTTAAATGTTATAAATCAAAATGATCAACTTTATGAGCACTTAAACATTGGGATGGAATGGTTTCATTGATTTAAGTCCAAATCTTGTGGCATTTACGAGGCATTTACAGTAATAAAACACTCAACTGGTTCTTGGAGGCCTGCTCCATTAGTGAGGAGAACTCCCTCATGAAGTGACCGCAAAGCTGGTTCTTCTCTGATGCTCCAGACATCATGGTCAACCAGACGGGCTCGGCCACGCGGGGCATTGTGTAGAGGTCGCAGATGGTCATCCTGGAGCGATGAGATTTATCAAAGGAGGTAAGAAAGAAAGACAAGGAACGAAAAGGAGGAATTACAGGGAACGAGGGGGGAAAAGAGAGAACAGACAGATTATTGTCTCTGAGGGAAAACAAAGGCGATCTTAGTTCACAGAGCTTCACTGTCTGCACTGAGGCCATGGGAGACCCTCATTGTGTGTGTGTGTGTGTGTGTGTGTGTGTGTGTGTGTGTGTGTGTGTGTGAGTGCGTGCGTGTGTGTGTGTGCGTGCGTCTCAGCTTGGGCATTTGTCCACTGAGGAGGACAGGAGTTTTCCATGGGACGTGGGGTGTTGGTGAGCCTGTCTCGGCCACAAGCCAAGCTTTTACACAGGGGCAGGGGGAATCTCTGCAGCATGAGCAACGTGGAAAAAATGTGATTGAAGTCTAAAAACTGGAGTCTATGCAGATGATCAAAAGTGTTAGAAGTATGAGGAATCAACCATGAATGATAAATGATAATGATAAAGGACTCCCACTTGTATAGCACGTCTCAGAGTGAGGACTCCAAAGTGCTTTACACTACAGTGTATCATTCATCCATTCACACACTGATGGTGATGAGCTACGATGTAGCCACAGCTGCCCTGAGGCGCACTGACAGAGGCGAGGCCACAGAGCACAGGCGCCACTGGTCCCTCTGACCACCACCAGCAGGCTAGGTGGGTTAAGTGTCTTGCCCATGGACACAACAGCAGAATTCTCAGTCCGGAGCCGGGATCGAACCTGCAACCTTCCGATTACTGGACAACCCGCTCAACTTGTTGAGCTACTGCTGCCCCACAATTGTCCACAAATCTCCCTGTGATAATCGGCTGCGATCAGCTCTGGTGATCAGTCACAAGACATCGAAGTTTTGCTGATAAGGACTAAAACCCTCCAGATCATCGATTGTGTCGAACTGAAAACTCCAATGGCTCTCAGGCTGTAAACAAGGTCGACTCAGAACCTTTGACTGATAAAGAAGCCAGTAAAGTGAGATGTAAAGACGGGCTGAATGCTGAAACGTGACCTTCAGGGTCATTCCAGAACTTCAGTTATTTTAGGATGAATTACTCGCCTCTCCCAAAAATATTTTAATTCAAAAAAGAGGAAGACTCCAGTCCTTCTTATTTATGGGAAACTTAAAAAAGAAGACATTTAGTAACACTGCATTTTATCATTGCAAGGACTTCTTTTTTTAACCTTGAGGTTGGTGACGAAACCGTTAACGTTCCATCTAAAGGACCATTTGAATAAACTCCTTGGTTTGGAGGCAGGACATGGTCATTTGTAACATTTGCATTTGTGAACACTCAGATGAGAAATTATTCCAAACTAGGGCTGGGCCATATGACCTAAAATCAACATCACGATATATTGAGGATTTCACCGCGATAACGATAAATGGACGATAACTACAGGTATGCGCAGAAACATAAGTTGTCCCCTAGATGGGGCTGTCACATGTATTACGGTGGTACCCTTCTTAAAGGGACATGAACATCGCCAACCTACACACATCTTTTCATTCTTTTAATTATCAAATTTATTGACATGGGAAAAATTATCTCGATAAGAGTCAAAAATTTCGATAAAATTTTCGATTTATTGCCCAACCCTATTCGTTGGTGTTCCGGACTCTGCCCTGAATCGGCTGCAGGTTGTTCAGAACGCTGCTGCCCGGTTCTTGACGGGTACACACCGACGTAGCCGCATTACCCCTGTCCTGGCACATCTTCACTGGCTCCCTGTCATTTTCAGAGTGCAGTTTAAGTTACTGACTTTTGTTTTTAAAGCACTCAGTGACCTGGCACCTCCCTACCTCTCTGCCCTTCTCACTCCATATGTACCCACTCGCACGTTGAGGTCGGCTGACCTTTTGCTGCTGTACACGCCGCGGATGAGACTCAAATCGCGGGGGGATCGAGCATTTATGCATGCTGCCCCAAAGCTATGGAACTCATTGCCCATTGGAGTTCAGCAGGCTCCATCTCTGGCGGTTTTTAAATCTCGTTTAAAGACCCACTTTTTCACTTTGGCTTTTAGACAGTGACTCGTTTTAGTGTTTTATTGTATCTTTGTTTTAATGTGTTCTTAGTATTCATCATGGTTTAACTGCCTTTGATTGAGATTTTTATCCTTTGTTTTAGCTCCTTGTAATGGTTGTGTTTTGTTTTAGCCTATGCAGCACTTTGGGCAGCTCCCATGCTGCATTTTAAACGTGCTTTATAAATAAACTATGCTATGCTATTCATTTACTGATAGGGTGGAGAATTGAGCAGCGACTGGAACCAGGACTAATTTGTTCACATTTTTAATTCTAATTTCTAGTTCTGATTTGCCGAGTACCAACAAGGAATCCGCCAGAAGTGTTAGCGTTACGCACAATCATGGAAAATATGCGGAGGTGTTCTAAAGTGTAGCTTAGAAATTCCATGGAGAAGTTCAAACGGTGTTATCAAGCCAGACCTTTGGTTAGCCGGCTCATTTAAAACATGTCAAGTTTTCTGACCCGGCCTCTTGAAATGACCAGAATCAAGAATCGCTAGGAACCGGAATCAGATTTGTTCAAATTTCAAACGATGCCCAACCCTATTTACCGTGAGCTGGGATTAGCATTTAATTTATGCAGCGACTGTTCAGGTGAACCTACAAACTCAATGTTTTATCAGAAATGAAACCATGTGAAGCTGAAACATCTGGTTGGATTATGTGCCGGTTTAAAAGGTAAAATAAAAAAAAACTAAAAGATGACCAGATCAGCATAAAAATTGTTACTAAAATATAAATGTAACAAAATGTTATTTATACAAATAATCAGCCAGCCAATCAAATCCAAGCTTGTAGAATTTGGTAGTTTCCATCTGAAGTGCTTCACGTGAAGAGACTTGTACCGCGTTTCTTTCACAGTTGCTCGCAGAAGACTTGAACTTCAACCTTGTTGTCTTGATGATTCAGAGCTGCAAGCCCTGACATCCCCCCCCCCCCCCCCCCCCCCGGGAGGCTGGAGTGACTTTTATGTACACACGTCTCTGCTAAGTAAGCACCTTATCTTTGCCAGCATGTGTGCCTGTCCTCCCTCCGACGACGTCAGAGCCACAGAACCATGACAGAAATGAAAAATGTTCCAGTTTCCTATTGTAATGTGCCATGATGTCAAACCCCGTTAATGGCATGGGCGGCTAGCTTTATACGTGGCTGCTTTCTGGGGGTGAGATTTTATAGATATTTTTGCAAGTCCCGGGCACAAGCGTTGCTCCTGCTGGCACTCGGTGTTTACTATTCTGGTGCTTGCTTGTGACCAGAGTCTGAGGTAGATAGGGTTGCCACTTGGGCAGCTTGGGTTGCTGCAGCCAGGTGTCAACAGGCATATGACCGCAGCAATGTGGACATCTCCAGCTAGTAGCTGCCAGCATGTGCAAGGGGAAGAAGCAGTGGAGACACGGGGGTCCGTGCACATAGATCATTTCTTTTATGAGCGGATGAAATTAATATAAGGCTGCAGCCATGCACACTTCTGCAGCCTATAATGTAAGAATATTTAGATTTTATGATAGTGGTCACCAAAAGAATAAAAGTCTGAAGCTTCCTTACAACTGATGACTCCAAAAGACCTAAATTAAAAAGACCTCTTTAAATTTAGCCTGCCTATAGTCATGGTCACAATGTAGAAGCCATCAATTAGTGGGCTTCAATTCAACATTTTTCATAATATTGCAGTGATGTCTGGGGTTTCTATATCTAGAAAGAGAAAAATCTGGCAAAAGAACTTTTTTTAAGCAGAAATTTGGATTTTGTTGTCAGAGGGCACCATCTAGAGGAGGACAAAATGTATTGCACCTTTAGCCCATCTCCCTACTTGCGTGATTGCAGCTAGAAGCAACGCGCAGAAACGTTGCCAACTCTGCATCAGTCTAGGCACTTCCACAGACTTGCACATGCGCTCTGTGATTGACATCTGTACGTGAGTGGATGTCCAACGCTATTGGCTAATGCTGAGCGGGGCTCAATTCACACTGCATGAGACTCTACGGGTCAGGGGAAGCTTTGGCAAAAATATTTTTGACATTATATCACCGTACAGGGTAAGAATGTCTTTTATGGATTTAAAAATAAAAAATTGTACATAATTTCTGAGAGGGGGAACACTCTGGACTGCTGCTTTAAAGGCAGACCATAGAGAATGTAGCATAGATAAGTGTATCTCCATAAAAAATGTGTTTGCGACAAAACACGGCGTAAAATTATTTCTTTGTTAAAAGTGAAGAAATGTGTGTTCAACCTGAACTCGTTGAGTCCATCGACCATTCGGCTGTAAGCCAGAGCTCTCTGACTGGCATCTGCTGACCGTCGGCTCATCTTCATGGCCTTGAGAGTGACACAACACACATGCACTTTCAGATATTTGGCACTGAAGCTGGTAAACAGAGGAATTCATGAGGCAGGAGATGCAGAAAGGAGAGAGCTGAACGGTCATGAACAGACATGAATAAACTGAACCACAAATATACAAGACATGTCAACGAAGCCCAACAGCAAAAAGGACAGAATGTGGTTGAAACACAAGAAATAAGGAGAGCAAACACATGTGCATGAATTTACCTGCTCAATGGCACTCTTGAGTTTGTTCATGTGGCTTTCAAACAGAGGGAAGTGGGAGAAGAAGAAGTCGAGGAAGCGGCTGTTCTCTTCAGGGTTGGAGGACAACGTAAAGATGACTCCGATAGCGATCTTCTTCTTCCTCATCACCCCGAGGCTCTGAGATCCGCTTTCATCGGACATGTTGAAGCTCTCCTCCACCGACCTGATCAGAACAGAGTCCACAGGGAGTCAAATTCAAAGGGCAGGAACAAAAGTCAAAGAACTCTAATTTCACGGCAAGTGAATAATAAACATACAATTAAAAATGAGGTCAAAGGAAATAAATAATTCTGTCATTTTTAATGCTGAAGCTGGTTTACATGATGCATTGGTGCTGCTGTGCTGGAATGAAGGGCAGATTAGGGAGGCTGACAGCTGAGTTCACAGGCCAGAAAACAGCATCCTGTCTAGTCGCGGCGCTGTTTGTGTGCAGTTCTTGGCACATAGCACACGTGTCATTTTCCCAGCTGCCTGCTGGACTCTGAGGAAGTCCATGTAGGATAAACTTTACAGAAGCCAGACGGAGGCCCCGGACAGGGACTCCAGTGATTGGGAGGGACTGTGAGGGCTGCTATAGGGGAAGTTGTTCGTCTCCCTCTGATTAACATATCAAGTGTGGGATTGTGCGAGTATTTGAGCTGAATAGTAAACACACTGAAAAGTTATTTTGAAGAAGTCTGTATAGATAAAAATAAAAATATGTAGCAGTTGTTCTTGTGAAGATTATGATTAATATTAGGTTGAAAATATCGATACATTGAAATATCGTGGAATTTCGTTTTACGATACAGAATCGACATTTAAAAGCAGAGTTTTTTTTATTAAGAATTTAGATGCAAACATTTACAGGATTTCTTTTGTGTGGTGCAATTCAAACTCCGACTGCTAGGTGGCAGCAGTTTTTACCGCAATCATTGAGATCTCACTAGAACACCGGATGTGTCTGGGAAGTGTGTGGTCCGAGTTTTCAAATGAAAGTCTGTCGTAAAATTGCTTTTAGTAACGTAACATACTGCATTG